GGTTGAGGTCAGGACTCTGTGCAGGCCAGTCAAGTTCCTCCACCCCAAACTCGCTCATCCATGTCTTTATGGACCTTGCTTTGTGCACTGGTGCGCACTCATGTTGGAACAGGAAGGGGCCATCCCCAAACTGTTCCCATAAAAGGTAGGAGCATGACATTGTCCAAAATATCTTGGTATGCTGATGCCTTAAGAGTTCCCTTCACTGGAACTAAGGGGCCAAGCCCGACCCTGGAAAAAGAACCCCACACCATAATCCTCCCTCCACCAAACTATACACTTGGCGCAATGCAGTCAGGCAAGTACCGTTCTCCTGGCAACCGCCGAACCCAGACACGTCCATCAGATTGCCAGAGAAGCCTGATTTGTCACTCCAGAGAACACGTCTCCACTTCTCGAGTCCAGTGGTCTTGCTTCCTTCGATCAGTGTTAAGTTGTCCTGTGAGCCCCCTGTCTCGCAAGCTGTTGAAACTTGTCTTCTGATGCTGCTTTTGCTTTGGGTCTGCCAGACCTTCCTCCAGCTTACAAGTGCCTTTTGATGTTGTTGGAAACTGGACTCACTGACACCTTGGCTTTCTTTGCAATTAATCTAAAAGGAAAGGGTTACACTTTGAGGGGTTGTAATGGTTTTTCTGTCTTCCTTTAATTGCCTTTTTCCTACTATTTTGAGAGCAATTTACTACTTCCTGCAGTACAATACTGCCCAAATATTGCTTAAGAGTGTGTAGTAACAGTCTATTACAACACTGCTTTTATACAGAGGGCTTGTGAGTAATCCACAAAAGATGGGACACATGTAGAAATTGTTATCATAAACTTAAGGCTTAATTTTACTTACATTGATGCAGAACAACTGTGAGTTATTAACCCATTACTTCTTCCCTGAAAAATACCTTTTTGTAGAACTCTGAAATTAACATTATTTTTCAGTTTTTGTTAACTTAAACTTCTTCTTTTCACCTCTGGCAGTTTACCACTGACCTTTGTACTATTGCAGGTTATTCACTGGACTTGAACTGCTCATATTTCAATGAAAACTTGAAAAATGGGGGTGTTCTAAAACTTGTGACTGGTAGTGTACATTATATACCGGGTTTCAATTTACATCTGTTTCTATTTGCAACCATTCCTTCAGGAACCTAACCCGGGCGTAAATTGAGGGCGACCTGTATATGACATAAAACAATACCTCAAGTTAAACAAAGCTTCCTTTTGCTTCAGGGATATTTGGATTATGTGATATTCCATTACTGTGTATAACTTTTTGTCATTTAGAAACTGGAAGCAAGCCTTCCTTGAATGCCAATGCTGACTATTCACATAATTCAATAAATCATTGATCATAGACTTTATCCATTAGTTTTAGTTGAATTTGAAAGAAAAGAAAAAAAAAATAGTTCACAGATCTAAATAATAGTTTAGCACAACTGATTTCTGGAATCTACAACCTCTTAATTCATGTGCATGGTCAGCATTAATGAGTTTAATCGCAAACACAGCCATTATTTTCAAATGCTAAAAGTGAACAGGTTACACACAGCATCTCATTTGCTATACTGTACCAATTTTGTTTTATTATTCAAGATCAGTCACTGGAATGTTAAATGTGATGTATTTGTAACCTAATTTCTCTTTTTAAGAAGAGTTTTACTTTTCAATAAAAGTCAAATCAACTTTGAACACCTTGCACATTTAATGGATATGCTTACAAAAACAAGTGCAAAAAAATGAAAGAAAAAATGAGCAATTCACTGAGGTACAAGGCAAGTTCACCCACAGAAGTACAATAAATAGAGCTTTCAAAATGAAAAGATTAAGGCAAGACATTCATAGAGGCGGGTTGAGATTTGGACTGTTCTTTGCTTTCTTATTACAGAACAATGTGCTGCAGCACCCCCTTGTGGTGGATTTGTTAACAGAACAGGGCTGGTAAACCACAATTTGGTATTATGAGAGTACATTTCATGTTTTACGATGCTCTAATGAAACATCAAATAGAATATTGAGAAATAAAAATCATAAATAGAGAGCCTTGTTATACAGCTACGGCTTATTTATGGAGTGTTTGCATTAAATGAATGCAACAGTTGCCTAAAGATATGAACAAATGAAGCAAAGATACAGCAAAAATATGCTATTTTGTTGATTATACAAATGTGTCATTTACTTGCAGCCAGGTGTTTTACTACACACTGCCTTGAAAAGCCTGCTGTATGTAGTTTGTCCCCTGAAGAACAACATGTTAACCAGACAGGCAATGACAAACACGAACAAGAAGTCACTGTGTTTAACATGGAATCTGATATGCAAGCAGAATCTCTCCCATTCTTATGTGGCTTTCTGATTGGCCTGTAAGGAACAGTTTAGATGCTGCATGGTGTCCTTTTAGTAGAGTGACCTCCAGCACATTGCCCTGCATACTCGTATATCATGTCACGTCTGAGGGGAAAAAGGCTTTGATGAAATAAGTCGCCATCAGCATTATATGATGTGCGTGTGGTGTCAGCTGGCTGAGCTGGTGACTGGAGCCAGTCAAATAAATTAGTCACTGTCCCGTATCCTTTGACAGATCTCATCTGTAAACTCGGAACACTTAGAGTTTCCTCCCAAATCTTTAGTTAAGGTCTGTAACAAAAAAACAAAAAGGAAAAAAAAAAACAGCTTGGTAAATTGCCTCTACTCAGATCACAGAAATTACAGCATTTACCAAGACAAATCCCTAAAAGAACACAAGACTCACCTTTCTAGCCTTTATGGTGTCAAAACATGCAGTCTCTATCTTGCGTGCATAGTCCTGCAGCTCCATGTGCCTCAGCATCAAGACTGCACTCAGTAATAAAGCGGTAGGATTAGCCAAGTCTTTCCCTGCTATATCTGGTGCAGTGCCATGAACCTAAACAGGACCATAAGAAAAGTTAAATTAGCTTACTTCTTCTAAGTCTCACTGATGGATTTTTTTTGCCTATTACCCATAATTGATTAAAAGGAGCTACCAAAAGCTATACAAAATAAGGTATTTCTTTTGAAGAAAAAAAAAAACCCGGTTTAAAAAATGCATGGCCTTGCTCAGGGACAATGCAGGGTTTACCAGCATTGGTGCTAGTAGCTCCCATTAGCATTAGGGGAATATGCTGAATGGGACACAGGCTCAGTGCCATGGGCCAGCCTTTGCCACCTACAAATTGGCACAGGCTCCCAATTCTAATGAGAGCTACACAAGCCAAAGCTGCTAAATCCTAATTTCTTCACTACAGAGGATTTAGTTCTCCAAAAAAGTGTCCATATTTTTCAGACTGTATTCAAACCTATGTGTTTTAATTGAAATCCATGCAAAAGCATGTCAATGCACATTGTAATAGACGTTGCAACACTTTTTGCAGTGAAAATTACACTTACAATGTGCATTGATGTGTTTTCTCATCGATTTTAAAGCTATGTCTCTCAGAGCAGAGAAATAAGCAGCAATGCGCTTTCTGTCCCCAAAAAAACAATATATTTGTTTGCCATAATAATAAAGAAAAAATAAATTAAAAAGTTTTATATGAGCCAATAAAAAAACAAAAACAAATGAAGAAAAACAAACCATAACATGTCCCTGTCATGTCTGTTTATTTGGAGGCTTTTTTTGTGACCATGTAGGCAACAACTCATGTTTCCACAAACACAGAAATTGTACTTACCGACTCAAAAATCGCTACTCCATTAGCACCAATATTTCCACTTGGTGTTACTCCCAACCCTCCAATTAGACCGGCACACAGATCACTTAAAAAAAAAGAAATAAACATTACAAAGAGACCTAATATTTTCCATAGAAAAGACACACTTGTCGGAGGACTAAGTTCACCCAATAGGTAGAGCATAATAGTGATTGGCCGATTTGCTATACGTCTCATTATATCCTTTAGGAACTCAATCACCAACACACATTTGGCTCAGCTCTATCAACCAAGTAGCCTCTTGTCAAGTAAATAAATAAAAATGCCAACAGGAGTGCAAGACTAATTGGTTGAACTCGATAGACTTGTGTCTTTTCAACTTGACCATGTACGTAATGGCCACAGTAGATGGGTCAGGCCGGGGAACACAGCTGGTGTCGTTACAGGAGCCCACCACTGTGACATAAGATGGGCAAGACTCCTGTATTTGATAATTCACATGTGTGCAAAGATGCGCTAACGTGGAGCACAGGAAATGATGCAGTTTCCCTGAATAGATGGCCCTATTTAAACCTGCCAGTCCTATGGATAATTGCTGAATGGTCTTTCAGCTTGTGTGTGTGTTCCAGTGTTCTGCTGCCTTTTACTACGCCTGACTGCTGCCTGCCCTTGACCCCTGCTTGCTCCCAGACTATTCTTCCGCCTTACGCTTCTGTACTTCGCTGCCCGATCGGTGTTGACCCTGGCCTGTCTGACTCCGTCCTGCTCAAGCAGTGTTCCTCGTTGTCCTTCCAGCTGCATCCACACCTGCTTCCTTGGAGACCAGCTTCGGGACTTACCCAGGCACAGTGCCCTACACACTCTGGCACTGGTGCTGCTCTCTGTCCTCTCACTCCCTGTCTCCACTCTCAGGGGTGTGGGACAAGAGTTGCAGAGGAGGCCACCTCAACTACCCGGTTCTCTACCAGGTATGTGATAGATATTGAGCATTTTAGGATGCACAGGCAACATCATGACACTGTCAAAAGCAGAACAACAACTACTAAGCGCCTAAATGTTAAGTTTTTTGTCATCTTCCACCTTCCAAACAATATTAATTAAAAAAATGATTTCTACACTTATTTATTAGGCTATTACAGCTGTTCAGTTGTAAACTACTGCACAAAAAAAACAAATATTTGCTACAATCATTTAACAGTGTCATTTATTAGCAGGGTGTATTACTGATGCTCCATGGCCGTGCTATGATAAGTATAAACAGTCAGCGATAGGAAGTGAGCAACAGTAATACCCAGCACAGAGCTTGTCTGCTGTCATTATCCAAACCATCCTTGTAGAAAACGAATTTCAGAAAAGGATTCTTACGCAGGGCCCAGGCTAGCATATGGCCGTCACTGCATTACATGTCCCTATTTTATCATGAATCACTTAACGTAAAGGATTAACCACTTTCCGGACCGTAATGTGGCCCACAGAAGTGGTTATACCAAGAACAGAGCTGCTGCTGCAGTCATGTTCTTGGTGTCATTTTAAACAGCAGGCGATAGCTGTTAAGATACAAGCAATTTGGCATCTATACAGCCGCCGGATCGTTTGTACTGATCAGCGGAATGTGCTGCCCCCACCCCCTCCGCTGGCTTCCCTGGACTCCACTGTCAGCCGTGTGGGCCCAGGACCAGCACAGTGGGTCTCCCCGCAACGATCGGAGAGAGATCAGCAGGCTTCGAGCCGCTGATCTCTCCCCTGATCACTGGACGCTGGACTTCCGGTGTCACGGTTTACATTCTTCGGCTCTTAGAGCCAGAAGAAGCTGGGGAAGCAGATCTCAGCGTCCACAGCTTCTTTGGGGTCCCTAGGTGACATTGTTTGGGGGTTTGAAGCGGTTTTCTACCCACAAATTCAGATTTTATGATGCGTGTACAAATAGTAATAAATTGCTCCGCACAGCAAGTGGTTAAAATTGTAGAAGGCTTGGGAGCTTTGAAACCTAACCTAGGGTGCTCCGTTATACTGACTGTCCTGCACATACCTGTTGATCAATGAGGCTGACCATCACAGTGATGAAACAATACTGAAGCAAGGCAAGGCACAACCAGGGACCTAAATCCCCATTTGAATAATCAAGTGCTCCATGGCTCTCATGCAGATACTAATATATTGATTTATGCGAAGGTACCTTTACATGCCTGCTTTTGTACTTGTACTGTTGGATAATTTGTGTTGTAAAACTAACCTTAAGATATCACCATACAAGTTTGGCATAACAAGTACATCAAATTGTGTAGGGTCCTGGACCATCTGTAAATTTAGAAACAAAGGCTGATTAGAAATAGCCAAAGAGGAAGGAGAACAGCACCTGGGTATTACAGTGGTTAAAGTGACACTAAACTCAGGAATTAAACCTTAAATATGCATTCAAGTACCCCAACTATTAACAAAAACGTAGCTTGTGTATCACTTGGCTGTAGATCTTTAAATTATCTGTCCTTCCTTCTGGAGGGTGGCTACTTTTGTTCCCCATGGTCTTTAAGTGTTTTGTAAATTAGCCACCGCTCCAAGGTCCCTCCCATGATGGACTACCATCTCACTAATTTGTATTGAGATTGTATTACATCACGGGAGCAAGCTTGGAGTGGTGGCTACTTTACAACACACACAGGGACCATGGGGAACAAAAGTAGCCACCCTCCAGAAGGACACTGCAAGTTCAAATTCAGAGATGATTAGGAGGATCTACAGCTGAGTGATACACAAATAAACTACATGTGGGGTACTTGAATGCATTTTTAAAGGTGTAACGCCTGAGTTTAGTATCACTTTAAATAAAGTATATGAAGAGGATTGGTTAGTATGACACACTAACTTACATTGAGGCACACTGTGTCCAAATACATTTCATTAAATTTTATGTCCTTGCAATTCTCTGCAACCTCTCGGCACTTCTTCAGAAATAATCCATCAGACATCCTCCTGAGAACCAAGCATAAGAGGGAAGTGAGCATACAGTACATTAGTAGAAATAAACTGGTGCTCTTCTACTCCATCACTCATCACATATTTCATAGGCCAACAAAAGATGTTAGAGTGCATTTCCTGATTGTGCAATGTTTAAGATTTATAAACCATAGAGCGGGTAAAAGCAACAAAGATATGTCAGTTATTTCAGGAATGCAAAAAAAGATTTGGCCTAATCCACTCTGTGCAGGAACTCACATGATATTAGCTTTGTGCACTGCAGTCACGGTGCTTCTTTGGTTATTTCTGGCATACTCAAAAGCAAACTCTGCAATCCTGTGGCTGGCCTGCTCTGTAATCAGCTTAATGCTTTGAACTACTCCATCCACAATCTGTAATGTATAAACACAAAAAAACTCTAGTTGTTTGTAATGTAACTAACTTTTTACATCTCTTTATGAAAGATAAACTTTTAATGTATTTCACACATTTGCTGATGTATAATTAAGATGGCTGATTATCTACTTAAATTGGAACTAAAGCCAAAAATGGTTTTAGGTTTCTTCTTTCACAAACTTTTGAGTAAAAAGGAAAAGGCTATAAATCAGCTGACGCAGCAGCGTTAAACAATTCTATCATGAAAAGTGTTGCAAATAATACATCTTACGAAGACATCCATAACTACAATGAGTGTGAAATAAAAGTATAGGGGGTAAAAACATTATCATGGCTAAGCGCCCTCACAGTTCAACCAAAGACCCAGCACTAGGATACACCCAGTGGTAGATCCAGAGGGAATTACATCAAAACAATTCTGCAGTAGAGAAGTTGAAGGGGGGGGGGGGGGGGGGGGGGTTTTTCGCGACCC